TCTAGGACATTCCAGTGCTGCCAGGGGGCGCAGGCCTAGAGCAGAGCCACGGGAGAGTGGGGAAAGAGCGCGATATTCGGGCTTCCCCCGTCGTGCCACTGCCCTGAACTTGCTCCCTGTGACTGCCCACAGTGCCCACCACAATGACGTCATTCCAGCTGACGACCGAGGCCCCAAGTCCTTGTCCGGTCTTGAAGGTTTGAAAAGACTGGTAGCCTAAGTGACGGGTCTCATCCCCTGGAAAGCACAAGAAAGGGTGGAGCTCTGGAGCCCCGCCATCCACTTCCACCTGGCTTCCCCGTTCCCTTCCATGCCGGAGACTCACTAAAGTCGAAGGACAACGAAGTGCAGTTGCCACCAGTGGCCTTCCAGGGGCACAGGAACACGCCACCAGTCTCCTCCTGACTTGTGCTTAGGGCCCTCGGGGCGCCCACCACGATGGACACGCTGCATAGGAAAGCCGGGTGAGCACAGCTCAGGGTCTTTCCACACTGCCCAGTGTCCACCACCCCAGTAGTACCTGGAAGGACGTGTGGCACAGAAAACACTGGACCGTCTTTCCTCACAGATACCCTATTAAGGTCAACCACTTCACTTTAGGGACAACTGAAACTGGACTCTTAGGAATTTCACCCGGGACTAAACCAGTTGGTTTGGTTTGGACAGGAAGGGTTTAATACTCCTGACACTCGTCCCCACTCCCTCCCGACAAGAACCAGACAAATCAAACCGTCTGCCTTGTCAAACTTAATAGATTCCCTTAGTGAGAACGGGGAATGGTGATGGGGGCTGGAGAGACGGCTCAGGTTAAGGGCACTGACTGCTCCTCCAGAGGTCCTGAGTTGAACTCCCAGCAACCACACGGTGTCTCACAGGCGTCTATAATGAGATCTGATGCCCTCTTCTGGCGTGCAGGCATACATGCAGACAGAACACTATACATAACAGATTATATATAATATATATTATATTATACACACACATATAAAGAATGACGAAGGGTGCGGAAAGCTGAAGTGGGGGTGTGTAATGCTGACAGAGTTGGGGACCCTAGAAGACCCAAGTTTAAATCAGCTCTGCCATATGTAAATTAGGGGTAATATCGGGCAATTACGCTGTTGGAAGAGTAAATGCAATACGTGTAGGAGAGACATTAAGTGTGCCCTCAGTCACGTGCTTTTATAAAAGTGTGTGTTGATAAACACACAGGATGTTTATTAAATTGTGCCCCTGGGACCAGTGCTTGGGGAAAGAGGCAGCAGAAGAGGAAGGAAAAACTTCAGGTCCTGTCAGGCCCTCTGAGTTAACACTCAAGAGTTTGAAGACAGGAAATTTTTAAAGATTTTTTTAGATTTGCTTGTTTGTTTGGCTTGTTGGTTTTGTTTTTTTGAGAGAGGGTCTCTCTGTGTAGCTCTGGCTGTCCTGGAACTCACTGTGTAGACCAGGTTGACTTCAAACTCACAGGGATCTGCCTGCCTCACCTCCCATCAAAGGAGATGTGCCATCACACCCATGGGGCTCAGGAGTTTTTTTTATTTATTTGATAGAATAGACCAGGCTGGCCTCGAACTCACAGAGATCTATCTGCCTGCCTCTGCCTTCCAAGTGCTGGGATTAAAGGCATGCGCCACCACCGCCCGGCTTGACAGAGTCTTCTTATGTGGCCCTGGCAATTTCATTTGTGGTAACCAACCTGCCCAGCCTCCCGAGGGCTGAGTTTACAAGCACGTGCCACCACATAGCTACAGAATCGTCAGAGCTGAGGCAACCCCAGATCCTTTCCCCTTCAAGGACAGTCTCTGGATGCAAGTCTTCTTGGGAAGGGGGCCTGGCTTTTGATGAAATGGCTCTTTTAGGCAGAGGAAAAGATTCTTTACACAGTCATTATTCTACCCTGGCCCAGGCATCCAAGTGTCCATCGGGATAAACACAGCTATGAAGAGGAGCCAGGAATCTTAGCAGTTTGATCTCAAAAATGCTTACTATTAATAATCTATCATCACTTCTTTTCAAATATCTATAACCTGGAAGGAGATGAGGTTGAAAATGGAGAAAGGGAAGATGCAGTGAGTGGGCACTCGTATCTTTGCCAATTTCGATGAGCGGCTGCGGGTAAAGCATGTCATATCACTGACCCTTGAGGAAAAGGAAGACACTAACTTTTACCTTTTTTGTCAGTGTTCATCTTCCCACTGGAAACCCTCCCCGGCACCCTCACTGGAATCTGTCCTTCCCCAGAGTCCTGACAGGAGCTCAACCAAGACACTAGATTCCACTTTGCTCAACTCGGGAAGGCGCGGCCACAGAGGCAATGACAGAAGGCAGTCCTCTCTCAACACCCATATCTCCCCTTGGTGCTCACCTCCCGTGGCTGTCCTTGTGAAAATCCAGTGAAAATCCAAAGTGGCTGCCATTGGGACCTGCATAGACGGTGAGCTTCACAGGATCCAGGTTCAAGGCCCAGGCTGGAGGAGCAGAACTAGGTCCTAAGAACAGTGGTGCCCACTGAAGGAGCCACAGGGCATGCCATATACACGACACTCCAGCCATCTGCCTTCTCCCCACACCTCCTAAACAGGAATGAGCCAGCGCTTTCCTCTTCCCCAAAGTTCCCACCACCGGAAGTTTTGACTTATCAAACTGGAGCTCAAAGCAACTGCTGAGCAGCAGGCATGGCAGAGAGCAATAGCCTTTAGATCACATGGTCTATAGAACCGCCAGGAAGGGGGACAGACCCCTGGGGATGGACGCTTATTGCTGGAAGCTATCGCTCATCCTTTTGTCCAGGACAGTTCATCTTCTAATCCTGCTGTTTCTGCTGCTTGGCTGCATCCCTTGAAATCCTTTTTCCTCTCTTTTCTTTCTTTTTCCTCTTTCTCTTTTCTTCCTTCCCTCCTCCTCCTTTCTTCTTCTCCTCTGCCTTTCTCTCTCTCTCTCTCTCTCTCTCTCTCTCTCTCTCTCTCTCTCTCTCTCTCTCTCTC